GAAACATTGACCCGAAGACACGGTGTTAAACATCACCACACTGTCTGCACGAGAAGTAGAGGGTGGATACCCGACCCGAGCCCGTCGGTACCCGTCGGGTCGGGCTCGGACACATCAGCGCGATAAGGCATTGAAGTCCACAACAATGTGGATTAAACCTCGAAGGCTGGACAATGTACATAGTTTTGTGTCGTGTGTATTCTATTTCTCCGTTTTTGCATTGTTTATAATTTATTTTCAACGTGCTTGTGCGTTTAACAGCGCTTGTTTGTTTGAGCGAGTATATTTATCTGTTGATGCCGGAGTTTCCCCCCCCCCCCCCCCCCCCCCGAAATGAACAAATGACTCGAAAAAACATTTGTTCATTTTACTGAATGAGATTCAAAGAAACGATGCGGTAAAATGATCCAAACTTCCCATCACTATTATTTAGTTCTCCAGCAGCGGAAATATATACACCCCACGCTATCGGTACACTCCCTCGAACTTGCAGTCGGCAGTAACAACCTAGAACTCTCGCAAGCAAACTTGATTAGCCCCCCAAAACAACGGGAACACCCGCCTCCCACCGTCTCCCCCAATCACTGGCCACCCCCTGTCTAGCCTGAACCGCAACTCCCCCTGATTGGCTAAACATCAAAAACACGAACATATCAGACATATACACATTATAGTGTAACAAAGGTTTATTGTCCCATACGACCTTACAGTTGTGAAGCAGAGATTGTAATCTGTCACTCAATTTTTTTAAAGTTCTTAAAAGTAAAGACAGTTGAGTAGAAGTTGTGATACTAGTTATGCGTCTGCACACGCTCCGCTAAAGCCGCTGTCCACCCCCCACTACGCTGCAGCGGCTCATATGCTCTACAAGCGCGTTCCTGGTTTCAAAACTCTGCCAATCACTCCTAATAGCTTGTCGAAACATCCCAGCATCAGCTGTCTATTACTGAATCTTACAGACACAAACCACACTGATGGCATGAAGTTAAAGTTAAAAGACTCAACGAAGCCCCATTATTAATGGACATGTCTGAAATCCGGTCATCATAGTCGACAAGTCGAAGTTGTATTGGGACGCTCGCTCCTTTTGCACGCTCCCGATCTTGAATCTAGAATCGATTGCTCTTCCTTGTTGCGGGTGAATTTTTTGCGGTTGAATTTTTGCGGTCGAATTTTTTGCGGTTGAAATTTGGCCGTTGAATTTTTTGTGGTTGAATTTTTGCGGTTGAATTTTTTGCAGTTGAATTATTTGCGGTTGAATATTTTGCAGTTGAATATTTTAACGTTGAAAAACATTCAGATACATGATTTCAATGCAATGCATGCGGATGTTTGATTTACGCGCGCGCATCAACCTGATTTGCTCTCTTGAATTTTTACAGTGATTTACCACCATAATGATGTCTCTCCTGGTTTAATCAACTCAAACCTCTCAGTGTATTACTGATCTTCTGTCTCACCAATCAGGCATATGAAAACCATGCAAATGTGTAAGTCACTCAGGGTACGATACACAAAGAACACCATTCATTCTGTGTGTAAATGTGAGAGTGAAAGGTTGTGTGTCTCAATGTCCGCCTTGCGATAGACTGGTGACTAATCACAACCACCGGGCTTGTGTGCCATTTGGTACCAGACCGCAGAGAAACAAATAACTTTTTCATTTGACTTTTTTGTGGCTGAGCCTGCATTAGTGAGTTGCTGAATAATGAAATATGTTTTCATTCCAGTGGGAGGCAGTAGGTAGAGCAATACACCTTTTAATTTAAGACTGGAGAATGAAATGATTCAGGCGGAGATTGCATTGACAAGTAGACTAATAGCGATGGAGAAATATTTGAAAAGGGAAAAAGTCAACTCTGAACTGGGCCTTGGACAAAAAAATAACCCGGATGAAAAGCCTATTATGAGTGGTGGTCAAAAGAAAGACAAAACGTTGAGCTCCAGGCAACACAGCTTAAGGGGTGTCCAAACTACGGTCGACGGGCCAACTGCGGCCCGCCATCCATTTTTAATTGGCCCGTATCAAAGTCTAAAAATATAAATGGACTATGCCCACTGACTATGCACTTCTTAGTTGAACCCAGTTGTGAAACCGTCAACATAATTTGGGCACGAGGGCTTTGTCAAAGAAAATTTGCCTTCCTCTCTGATGTTGACGCTGCATACGGCATACGACGCTGGCATACTACAATAAGTTTTTGAAAGAAAAGGGTAGACCTCTGCATGAGATCACTGACCCTTTATGGTTGGCAGACCTGGATTTTTTTGTCACTGATCATCTCAACACCCTGACCAAGAGACTACAAGGCAAAGAGCAGCTGGTACCACACCTGTATGCGCACATGAAAGCATTGCGTGTGAAGCTCTGTCTCGTCGAGTCACAACTGCGAAACTTCAATGTAGCGCACTTCTCCACGCTGACCGAAATCAAATGCGCATTTACAAATGCCAACCTCTCTGCTAAGATGCGAGAATATGTGGCTGTGATTACATCTCTCATGAAAGAATTCAGTCAGCGCTTCCAAGATTTTTCTGTCATTGAGAAGGAAATCACACTGTTGCTGCACCGTTTCACTAGATGAATGAATGAACCAGAATGACCGACAGCATGTCTGTGACGTCCTTCGCATCTCAACCCCCAAACTTACTTACTTAGGTAAGTTAAAAATATACACACAGTTTTCATTTGTCAATAAGCCCAATTACTTAAGAAATTCAGTAAATTAAAGATGATGACAATTTTTTAACAAATGTTAATGTTTTCCCAACAAATAATTTATTTGTGTAATAAGCTTGAAATATCCACATGCCCTATTTGTGTTCTTGTTTCTTCCTTCATACAGGGCAATAAAGGGGGATCAGCACCGTAAGAACCAATTTGAGGCTGTCACTGAGAAAATGACCTGCCAACCTTTTTGTAAAAAATTAAATGAAAATCTACTAATGGAGAGCTATGATGGAGGCTTTTTTCTTCAAACATGGTTATCAAATTATTACACGTAATTTACCTGCATTTGATCAATTTTGCCAATAATAATGCATTAGAAGTGAGTCACTATAGGTCACGTATGGTGAGTGGCCCAGTCGTGTATATTTTTCTGTATGTGGACCCAAATAAAGTTTGGACACCCGTGGCTTAAGTCATTTTTGGTATGGAGTTATCCAACAGATAGTAAGGAGTTTGTTTGTGGGGAGAAGTTTTCCAACATATAGTAAGCTTAAACATCAAACCAAACAAAACAAGAAAACACAAACTGATAAACAGCCAACTGGTATGAGAAGACCGCAAGGTGTCTGAGAGAGCTCTCAGAGCCAGCTGCTTAGTTAGAAAACCCACACACTGCGGCAGAGCCAATATTACTACCTGCAAGCCAAGCCGTTGAGAACAAAGATGCACACACGTGTTGGTGACACGTCTGCATACATCGAAAACTGCCAAAGATTTATTATGTAAAAAAATGTACATTAAAACTGCTTGAGAGAATTGTTCCCTATGGACCAAACGCCCCCAAACTGCCCTACGGCAGCCAAGCTGGAAGCCTAGCTAACCCAGCTACGCTCTGAGGCTAATCCACTACCCAGCATGCTGCTGGCTTTCTGATGCCCCCCCATGCAGGAAATGAAAGTAAGGAAAACCAACAACAGAAGGTCGGTGATCTGACTCCATCAAAGGAACGCACTCGTTTTGAAAACACAATTCATATTGTGTTCAAAACGGCCACAACTTTATTTCGTTGTGCAAAACTGTGATAAAAAATGACCCTATGGTCTTTGAATGCAGACCAACTAAATGCAATGTAAATGTGACTGTGGATATGCAACATAAAGCGAGTGCCAGGGTATAAAAGATGAAATACTGCGACGGGTGGCTCAAACAGACACAGGACATTTAAACAGGTGACCAGTGTCATTGTCCCAAGATGTTGTCGAGCTATGTTTGTGTTACACTACAGATAATAGTTATGTGTTTTCTGTACTCATGCTTCCTTGTTTACATTTCACTGGGCTTAAAAAAAAACAATTTTAAGCCCAACCACTATAGTGTCAAATTTCAGACCAGAAGCGTTAAGCTAAAAGAAATCATGCACAAAAAAAAGCTCTTCAGATTCATCAATGGGAATACAAACAGAAATACGATTTCACATATGTTAGAAAAAAGAGCAAATAAACAACGAGATAAATATGTTTGAACACATTCACACCAAGCACTTTTCACTGAGTCACTATACACTTGTAATCCACATACATGTATATAGACATATGATACATCAGCGCATACAGCACATATATCCTCATAAGTATCTATTCATTTGTATCAATTACTCTTTAGGCTTGTTTTATATACTTAGTTTAAAAGACACGTTTAAAGAAATATAATGTGATTGGCACGATCCCCGGACAGCCGTCCTGCATTCCTCCAGGGCCGGCCGTTTGGGAGCGGGACCGAGACGCCCCGTTTCTCCCAGCTGCCGCGGAGCGTGTCGCCCTGCGGCCATTTGAAGCGCTGTGACTTTCCGGTGAACACATTTTCTCGAACCCTACCGCATCGCACCAATCCCGCTCTGTGTCCCTTACACTTATTATTTGCTTCGCTGCCCCCATGTTTCCTGTGTAAATATGGTATTACACTTCTTATATGACCAGAAGGGGTTTCATCCACCTTTCTAACGCATGTTTGTGTATATTTGGTGACACAAACTGTAGGGAGAATTTAAATTTCACTTTGACTTCAAGGTCTGACTTGAATTAGCAATTATATCGTCAAAATAAATCATCTAAAGCCTTAATGCATATTTCTCATTAAGTTTTGTATTGTTGAAGATGATGTAAATGATCACCTTTCATAAAATAAAATGGTTTCCAAAGGGCAGCAGGAAATGGTTATGGAGGGGGTAAAACATTGTCTGAACTGAAATGGCAAGGCGATTATGTCTGGTGCTGGCATGGAGCAATTCTTTTTAACGTGGTACGTGGAACAGCGTAAATCTGCCACTCACCGCGGGTGTTGCTGGAGAGGCGCTTGCGTTGGTTGGTGGAGGTGTTGTGTGGCAGCAGGGTGTTCTGCTGGTGGTTGCTGTCGATGGGACTGGTGGCAATGATGTTGTCCTTGTACTTGTTCATCAGGGCCAGCTTGGTGTTGTCACTCACTGTGGACAAATGGGATTAGAGTTACAAAAAGGAGGACATGAAGAGGTTCTAGAAGAGGGAGGCACAAACTGCTAAGCTTTCTCTCTGGAAGGAGGAAGCAGTCACTTGGAAAGGACATACAGAAATAAAAATAATTGTGTTCTTGACTGGATGCTGAATGTTTTAGAAGCACAGTGTATCATGGATTAAGTGCAGTAATGCTAAAGGAAACACAACCGGCATGTTGTTTACTGAGGTAGGAGTCAAACAGGAACAATTAAAGAGCAGGGAAAGCTGGCTTGAAATTAAAACCCTTTAATATTGAACAAATTCCCAGAGGAGGAAATGATCTGTTTTGCTAAATAATAAGAGATAAATTCCGCCCCCATTATAAAACACAATTTCTGCAATAACAGCAGTACTGAAATATCTATAACATACGGTTTTATCTCACGTTAGAAGGAATGAAAAACACTCGAAAATAAACGTTTTTGTTTTATATTTTATTTCAAGTAGTCAAAGTTAAGGCACACAATTCTGTGTTTTGGCGGCCCTCTCACTTTCCCCAGCATTGTCACAGTGCCCACATTTATGATTTGGAGAAATGTAGTTCTAAAAAGTTGCCATAATAACAAATACTACATTGTTACATTATGTTGAAGCAATATTTATTTTAGATTGGCAAAAGACATGACTAAAAGCACCATTGCTTTCAATTTAGGATTGACCTTTGGCAGAAATGGAACGTCATTTTTATAACCGAGTTTCCATTAGTGTATAATCATCTCTAACTACAAACCCTTCATTTCTAGGTGCGTCCTCTCCCCATGGATACAACTGAGGATGGGGAATAGATAACCCTCTGGCGTATTTGGAAGGGGAAGGGAACTTCAACGCTAGACCGCAGTTAGTCCAACACAATGCCACTTTAATAACGACATAACATTATGTTTCCACTTGTTTATGTATTCAAACTCTTGCGTTATTGTAAAAAGGGTATGGGGCAAGTAAAAAAATAAAATACTGGCTTCATTTTTTTCCTTATTTCCAAAGCTTTTTTCCTCAGCGACCTCTGCCGTTTATGACATTGTTTAATATTCCACGTACGCCCTGCAGCCTGGATTTCCTATTTCTCTCGTCCATGTCATAAACTATCTTAAATGCATAATGCACAGGATTACGCCGCCTCCATCACCTCTGGGGTCGGCTGTTTGGATTTTTATAAGAACACGGCATGTGAGCTCATCCACCACGACCAATCTCTTGATGATTCTGAGCAGTGAATACTCTACTAATTGGAATTCAGGGGGCTTAAGAATCATAAAACCTGCTCCACTTCATACACTTCTCCCCTTGGGAGCGGTCCTCAACTCAAACGTCGCCTGATTATGAAAAGTAAGATCTTCCAGGAGGAGTTCTTGGCAGGCCCGTAAGCCTTTGGATTGTTCCAAGTGTGACGAGTAAACTCTCCAAGAGAATGTCCTGCAATGTGATATTAATGTCTGGTGGACTGTCTGCAGTGACGGCTATTGTTATTACGCTGTTCTGAAAAAGTGTTAAATAAGTATGTCATCTGAATTCGTTTTCACTAAGATTAAAGTCCTTCATTATTTGGCAGCGTTTATTTTTATGATTACTTTGCACCTATTTGAGAAAATAACACGTGGTGTTTAATTAAAAATCCAATTACCTCTTTGTTTTCACACTGATTATCTAAATTATTCTAGCTGTGTTTGTGTAATTACATTGTTCCCTGCTTATAAAGCTATTTGTAAATCCCCAAGTTGTCCCCAAAACCAGCAAAAGTAACCTTTTGACATGCTGTACATTTGACATTTGACATACAGTACGTCCCTGCATGAGGAGAATAAGGCTTTTAATAACACTAGCGTGTAGGATTGAGTGCCAACTGGTGGTGAGGTGGCAGACTAAAGCCCGCTGAAAACCCCTCACCTTTGAATCCATCAAGCGTATTCAAGGGAGGTAGCAATATTACATTACATTACAATACAGGTCATTTAGCAGACGCTTTCATCCAAAGCGACTTACATTACACTTTAAACCCATGGCTTTTTCACATTTTTGCCTGGGGAGCAATTAGGGGTTAGGTGTCTTGCTCAGGGACACTTCGGCATGGAACATGGGGCAGCCTGGACTGGGGCACCAACCTTGTGCTTCCCAGCACACCTTCTCTAACCCCTGCGCCACGACGACCCCGATATGTGAACAGATGTCTCTAGAAACAGTGTTTGGCAGTGCAATGTAGTGGACACCAAGAAGAGAATGCTCTACCCATTGAGATAGTGTCACAGGATTGTACACATATGCACTAAATCCTGCACACTGCTCCTTTAGACAATGTCAGCAAGCAAATAATACACATGCATCCACTTTCTAAAGTTAGAATGCCATGTCTGGCACAAAATAATAAAACCATCTTTAGCTTTAGCATTGAAGCACCTTCATGCCTAAACGCATGAGCAGTCTTAGCATTTATTTAGTTCAGTGTTTCTGGCAATATGATGAAAATAAGTTGAGTAGACCTCATAACATTATGTAAGTCAAAGTGCCTGCTGTTTCTTTTTCACAGGTTTTGGTCACCACCATCTAAGTGCTCTGCTATATTATATATATATATATATTGTACTCTCAACCAACGTGATCTCCAAAACATACGAACTGGCGGTGGTTATCCACGCCCCTTGAGTGAACAACATGGCGGACCATGTTGGATTCTTGAGTGAACGTCTCTCCGCCATGTTGGATTTTTTGAGGGGGTTAGGGTTAGTATTCTATTCTTACAATTTAACATTGATTTCTCGTTAAAAATGCATTCATAACACGTTTATTTTACATCGTTAAGACTTCACGAGGTGCAGGTCCCCATTCACTTTGAATAGGGTGACGTCATCAGTTGCAGTCTGTATTTATTTCGTATGTATCACTACGAATTTGTATGTTCAAGATTTTCGTATACATTTTTATGAACAGGTTTTGGAGATCAGGCTGTCTCAACTTAACTATACAATTAGTTTACTCTAGTATAATGTGGTAGATCTAGTAGAACTCTATATCTGAGGGATACAGTATATCTGTAATTCAGACTTCATTGCGAGCTAGAACTTTATCCACGTTGCTCTCTAGTTTTATACAGTTGTCTAATTTTTGGTAAGTTTATTAACAGTGGGATTTTTAGTGTGGGTTTTTACCCTATAAACATTTGTGTGAGACTGCTGCTTCTTTGATTGTGTGTCACATTAATCAAGTCAATGTTAGCGTTAAAATGTATTGACGGGTGCAGCTTTAAGGCTTTTTGTTCAGTTTTTTTCCCTTTTATTGTCCTGTCGACATACCCGGTGTAAGGTCCATACTATTCTTGTCGTTACAGCCCTGCAGAGAGTCCAGGGTACGGGTGACTTGGCTGGCAAACTCCTCCCCACCATTCATACACTCCCGCTGCAGGTGGTGGCGCAGGTCTGTTATGTCATACTCGTATCTGGGGATGAGGTAAAAAATAAATCAATTAGGGTAACATTACCTTGACTGATCAGAATCAGGGTAAATATTACAGGAGACTTGATGCTTGAAGAAGCTGTCAAAATGTGAAGGTGTGACAGAACTGATAAGGTAAGCTTTCATCATCATCATCATCCAGCTTTTATCATTTCAGCTGCTTTCCAAGCAGGGAATTTCAAACAAAATGTAGAATGTAGAATTATAAAAGTATTTAGAATTTAGCCGTTTCAAGATACATCCCCCCCCCCAACGCTAATACATCTATCCGACCGTCCACCATATCCTACTTGTACCCGTCCAATATCGGTGTCTCCCGGATGCTGAGGGTGCCGCTGGAGTTTGGCCCCTGACCCCGAGAGTTCCTCAAGCTCTCCCGGGCCTGGCCTCCCATCAACACCGAGGGGATGTAGTGAATCTCGTTAGCGGCCTCAGCGCTTGCGCTCTTCTGGGGCTGGGGGATGCGGCGGCGCTTACACCAGCGCCTGCGGGTGTATAGAATCAGGACCAGGCATAGGATGGACAGCAGAAGAGCGATCATCCCGCCCTGAGGGGAGGAGGGTGACATTTGGAGAAGAGACAGAGAGGGAAAAAAAGGGAGAAGAGGGGGGAAAAAAACAGAAGAACAGTCAAAGGGGACAACAGATTGAGAGAATCTTGCCAAGTTGAATACGGATCAAAGTCAAAGCAGAGATGGCAACAGCACAATTTGTAAAAAAAAAAGCCTGCAGATGCAATTTAGTGAGTAACACCTAAAATTCTTTTAAATGACAGCAGCTCTCATGCTTTTGTGCCGCTGCTTCACCTTGAGACAAAGAAGAACTTTGCTGAATTCCCTGTGGGATGTGAGAGAATGTTGGCAGCTATAGCGGCTTCCTCACTGGAAGTACAGAGGTCAGTGCCCGGCTGTTAAAATATGGCTCCCATATTATCTTCAAAAGGAACAGTTTCACAACTTTTTTTTTTTACAGAATTTACAGAGTGACAGTAAGTCAGGAAAGACAATTCGGCATTGAAAAAAATATTTGTTTATACTTTAATAAAAATTGACATATTTCTATTACGGCTTTAAGAATATGGGGCACAAATAAGTGTCGCCAAATGTGATAAAGCAGTTTATATATGGCTAAGCAGCCAACCAGCTTAGCACAGTCAATGGGCACAGGGAAAAACAGTTTAACACAAAAACTGAAGTTTAGAAATTGCAGGCTATGATGGTGGATCATCAAGTTTTTTTTTCAAGATAGTGCTTCCATTGACTTAATTATCTCGAGGTTGTCAGACGTTTTGAGGAAAACATTTGAATGAATACTTTGCAGCCGGATCAAATCCTTTAGGGGATATGTCTTCATAATGCATGCAATACTTATAGAAGATAATTTATTAGTCCATGAACAGAATCATTTGTTCTCCCATAATCCTCTTGGACACAGTAACAGAACGTTATGCGTAAATGCCTTTGTGGGTGCTCGTAGCTCACGTGCAATCTGTGGAGGCGCTAGTAGGATCAAAAATCCACCCTTTGCTTTGCTCATCTTCCCTTGGACTTTAAGGACTTATGAGCCAGTTTTCGGGGACGGAGCGATGTGGCAGCATCCACACCAGCGGGTGTTGGGGGAGGGAGGGATCGGGGGGCATACAATGGGACAAATGAAGGCCGTTGAGCCTGAGCCCTGAGGACAAGTTGGACCGAGGGAGGCACAGAGTGTGAGACAGAATGAGACAGCAGGAGTCAAAGAGGGAGCGGATTATGGCGAGGACAGTGTCAAAGAAACGCCGGCGAGAAGCGGGGCGCGGATCAGAGTCAGGGCGAGTCAAACGCACACACCCTGCAGAAACGCCGGGGAGAGACAGCGGCTGTCACTGTGCATACAACAGCATATCTTTGCCATGGAGAAAAGGAAATGATCGCAGCTTCTACGGGCAACTTCATTCTACCCATTCAAAAGAAAGAAATCAAATTCTATCAAAAGACTCCAAATCAGATACGTGGTGCATTTTGAAAAATGTGAAAAATTAGTTATGAAAATGTCAAGATGACATCCCAAAAAGGATTTTCTTTTTTTTTATGTCCCTCAGTCAGATAAATGACATCCCCGATTGAAATTAGGAAAAAAAGATTTGTGTGGGTGCTCCGTCCAGCCCGGTGTGTACAGATGTTCCCGTCTGTCCTGTCTGCGCTGCACGTCCTTTCTCTTTTGATTTTTTTAATCTACTTGAGAGGTGCAGGGCTGAACACTGTAATATGTCACAAATTGATCCCTAGCAATAGTTTGGCCAGAAGCACCGTCCAGGAACAAGAAGTTAAGTGAACAAAGATTTCAAAATAAAGAAATAAAAAGGAGAGGAAGGAATATTCACACAGGTCTCACACAGGAACTGTGTGTCAGGTCAGTGAGACAAGCACAGTTCTGGAGAGATAAGCAAAAACGATGAAATGAAAATGAAATTGAATTAGTCCTTTACATTTAAAACACCTTTTCACGCATTTTGGGAACTCCGAGACAGCATCATTTGCATACAGTGTTTGCTTAATCTGCATAAACAAGGACATTAGCAAATGACAGCGTGACATGAGTGACTTGTGCACTGCACCTGTATGCACATCATCCAAAAGGAGAACAGTCATTTTGTTCGGGTTAATTACAGTTTCAGGTCCTTTGAATAAAACAATGACTGTACACGAAATAGAACAGCTAACGACACGATCATGTTTTCAACATTCACAGTGTGATGTCTACAACACATATGTTTAACTCAAGGCCCGCAGGATAATATTGAATTAGTATTACAGCTAGGGCTGGATACCGAGAACCGTGCCATATTGGCACCCTATACGACCAGTACCTACTGGACCGAAACGCTACACAGATTTCGGTGCTTGCTTTCGGTGCCTTAGCCGTTTATTTACACTACTCTGATGACTACATCCTTGCAAAAGCTGACAGTAGCCTACCGTTTGTGTAGCTACAGTAGCCAGCTAGCCATATTCGCTTAAGTCAGCGTTTCCCCTCAGTTATTGAAGTGCATACACAGCGTATGTGCACATACACACGCCCCCACCAGCGGAAACAGAGCGTGCCGCCCCCCGCCCCCCAAAAAAGTTGTAAACCAGCTTTTAACTAAATATACAATTAATAAATTCTGCCACACAGAAGATAAACGATGCTCTCGTGCCTCATGCAGCTCTTTGATGTTGTACCTGCTGCAATCATGGCGTCAATAAGTCGAGACAAACAAGGAGCGTCAATTTAGCATGTGCTTTTCAATATATGTTTCATATCTTTAGTTCCTGCACAATGAACAGAAATCTAAAAATAAATTATTAATATTCCCCAAATTCCAATGAACTAATATATAGACATCTGGCAGAGGGGAAACACAGTATAAGTATTAACACCCGTCCACCAAACCCCCCCAATAATCATAATGTAACTCCCCTTTGAGTGGGAGTGTGAAGGGGGATTGACACAGATGACATGTGTGAAACCCTGTGTCACCAGTGTCGACTGTGAAAGGTTCTGAAAAGCATCCGCTGTAGACAGCAGAGGGCAAAGCGAGTGAGGGGTGCCAGAGCAATTATCTGTTAAGGCCCAAGGATGGGAGGGGGGGGTGTCCTTGACCCATGAAGCTAAAACCAGTTAGTTACCAGTCTTTGGTTGCTATCTGAAGATGGGTTTTCTACAAAGTGCAAGAATTCCATTTTACTTTTAATTGGCTGTTGCCAATTGACATACGCAAAGCTACGCCCATCAAAAGCAGATCAGCCAATCCTAGTGTAGCAACGGCCAGCACTGCCAGGGTCCAACCACTCCCATGCATTCTTTTTCTGGATTTTGTAAAAACATGTGGAGCTAGTATTAGCAGGTAATACGTAACTGTGGTAACTGACAGCTCGGCTTAGCAAAGGTCAGTTATGACACATTTATGTGTTAAGTTCATACAACCTTCTAACATTAATGTGTATTGCTAGAAATGATCAAGTTTAGTTGGTGTTGCTCTATCTAAATATCTAAAATAACATTGAGCATCGGTAACTATTAAACTTTATATGTCATGTCTTGCCATAGTTTCATTCATCACAGAGGAAAATAGAACAAGTCAAATGTCAAGTACTTCAAATGGTCCTCAATCAAATCTACCTCAGTAACAAATGTAATTAAAACCCATCTAGCTGCATTAGCGCCCATGCGTAGCTGGGGCTAATAAAGACCAAATGGAAAAAAGCTGTTTAACGTCAGGCATTACATGGAATCAAAGGCAGGACTAAGTGGGCTGTGTCCTCCTCTGGAGCCAATAAAGCCAAACCACACATCGGAGCATGCCGGAGCGCCAGCCCCGTAATCCACTTACTAACGGATGAGGATGATGCTGTAATGGCGCGGGTGCTCCTTATGACTTACACTCCTGTCATGTTAGTCCTGAATGCAAGAGAGATGACATGGCCTTTCTCAGTCTGACAGAGACCGGCCCGGTATTAGAGCCAAGCTATCAATCTGTCACAGTCTGTGGATGCGAGGCATGAAGACGCAAGAGGGCGGAAAGATCGAGATTGTCTGACAGCTACGAGATAGCAAAAGGAAGTTTCCTGCTTTGAACCCAATAAACTTCATTGTGGAGCCGAGGGGCCAGTGAACGGTTTCCATGATGGAAAACGGACATTTTTCATATGAAAGTCCTCCCGCAACTTTAGAATCACTCAAACTCCGGAAGAAAGGGTTAATGTCCCCAAAGTATCATTATTAATATGGCAATGAAATGAAACAAAGCAGCAGGCCTTATGCTCCAGAGCGGAGCTTGACCTTGAACAGACGTGAAAGTCAAAACCTCCATTTCACACACGTCATATGACTGGGAATGAGTATTAATGGCATAAATGGTTTAAATCATTTATTCAATTTAGTGCATTTCATAAGATCTTATATACCATGAAGGCCTGATTTCAAGTGTGTGTGTGTGTGCGCGTGTGTTGTGGAAATGCATTCATGTAAAAACCACATTTGTCATGTAAACATGTATTATCTTAGAATTAAATGAAATCACTCGTGTAATTTAGAGTATTTCTTAGTGAAACATCTTAAAGCCACAATACTTTGACTTTTTTAAAGAAATCCTACTACATTATTGCATATAAAGAATGAAACGGCCCAGGTGTAATAGCCTTTTCTTCCCCCTGTCTGGTCTATGGTCAGTCATATTCCTGGAAGCTGGAACAAGCCTCTACTTTGGCAGGGACATTAACACGTCCTTGAGGAAAGGTAATGTCTGCCGTCAGTTTTCTTATCTGTAACTCACAGATTTGGGGAGACCTTTAAATGCATCTTTCCAGAAGAATTTTTTTTAGTTAGTTACCATTAGGAATTCACCAATACCACTTCAGATAGTCAAGTACTCTCCAATACAAGTACTTAACAATGCCCTCACAATACTACCAATATTTTTGTTGCTCACATTTAATTAGTCAAAATGTATTTTTGCTTTTCTAAGTTAAAAAAGGAATTGATTGACAATGTTATTAATTAAAATAAATATTGAAACAAAAAAGGG